ATTGCCTAATTTTGGTGTTGACTGTTTTTTCTCAAACTCCTGGAATCCAAAAAATGGGAAAATTATATACTAGTTTTGGTGTTGACATGTTTTTCTCAAACTCCTGGAGTCCAAAAAATGGGGAAAATTGATTAGTTTTGGTGTTGACACGTTTTTTCTCAAACTTTTGGTGTTGACATGTTTTTCTCAAACTTGTGCAAGTCAAAAAATGGGGAAAATTGACTAGTTTTGGTGTTGACGGACTGAAACTTAGAACCATCCGCATATACCAGAATAGAGGGTAAGATATGGAAGTGTAAAGTTGCTCCTAAAAACAATGTCTTCTTTCAAAAGGGTTTGAACGGACATGCATATATACATATATACATATATATATATATGCATATTTCTCAACTCCTGGAATCCAAAAAATGGGAAAATTGACTAAATTTGGTGTTGACATGTTTTTTCTCAAACTCCTGGAGTCCAAAACATGGGGAAAATTGATTAGTTTTGGTGTTGACATGTTTTTCTCAAACTCCTGGAGTCCAAAAAATGGGGAAAATTGATTAGTTTTGGTGTTGACGGAATGAAACTTAGAACCACTTTCTAAATTTTAAAAAAATCCCTGCGAGTCATTCTAAGTTACCCCCAAACCCCCCTGAAATGAGTAAGGTTCTATCTTCTGGGTAAAAAAATTTGGAAAACTGCGAGGCATTCTAAGTTCCAGTCCGTAACTATATATATATGTGGTATACATATATAATTTAAATAGTTTTTACATATATATATATACACATTGCATTTATCTACTTATCTCGTCAAGTGTGCTCTTTCATGCCCCAATGATCCAACCCTTCCAACTTCAACCAAGTAAAACGAAGGGGAGAAGAAGAGTACATGACATACGGTGAACATGAAGCACTGGTAAGAGGCAAGCCTTCAAAATTGAAACTGGGCAGCGTCTTCTCATTCGAAATGCAAAGCCCCACCACGTTCATCCCACGAGGAAAAGACGAGAAATGGGAAGTGTACTAGGCCGAAGGCCCCCCTAAAAGACATAAACCCACCACCCTTGCAACGACAGATTGGTACTAGCCCTACCACATTCAGAGCCTTGTGAAGAAGACAGTGTGAAGAAGAGACGTGGAAACAGTACCGGGCCGAAGGCCTTCCTAAAAGACATGCGCCTACCACCCTTGCAATGACAAACAGGTACTAGTCCTATCACATGTGCAGCCTTCAGAGGAAGATAAAGTGAAAGAGAAGTGTACTAGGCCGAAGGCCCCCCTAAAAGACATAAACCTACCACCCTTGCAACGACAGATTGGTACTAGCCCTACCACATTCAGAGCCTTCAGAAAAATCACAATGAGGAGTGAAAAGAGGAAGGCAAGGTGAAGAAGAGCAGTGGACACGTTACCAGGCCGAAGGTTCTTCTTAAAGACATGCGCCGACCACCCTTGCGCCGAGAAATAGATACTAGCGCTGCCACGTGCCTTCGGATAGGTGTCTTGACAAGAAGACAAGTGGATAGAGCAGTAGGCCGAAGGCCTTCCTAAAAGACGCAAACCTACCATGATTGCAACGACAGATAGACACGAGCCATACCACTTTCAGACCCTCCAGATCAGAACAATGAGCAGAAGAGAGGGCGAAGGCCTGCCTAAAGACATCAACCTGCCACCCGCGCAACAACAAATAGATACTAGCCCTGCCATCTGCAGGCTCTGAGACAAATTCCAAGAAAAGGACAGAAGTGCAGGGGAAATCTAGATAAATTGACAGACAGTCAGTGATTCAGTGAGTTAGTAAGTAAAAAAGACGAGGTTTAGAGCTAGGGAGTTGGTTGGAAGAGATACATAAGCAGAAAGATACATAGATGTGTAGCCACGGTACATGTGTATGTAAGAGTATGTGTTTACATATGTTTACACATATATATATATATTTATTTATTTATTTAGTATACATATCTAATTTAAATATATATATATATATGCATATATCTATATTGCATTTATCATCATTTATCTACTTATCTCGTCAAGTGTGCCCTTTCATGCCCCAATGATCCAACCCTTCCAACTTCAACCAAGTAAAAGGAAGGGGAGAAGAAGAGTACATGACATACGGTGAACATGAAGCACTAGTAAGAGGCAAGCCTTCAAAATTGAAACTGGGAAGCGTCTTCTCATTCGAAATGCAAAGCCCCACCACGTTCATCCCACGAGGAAAAGACGAGAATGGGAAGTGTACGAGGCCGAAGGCTCCTCTAAAAGACATAAACCCACCACCCTTGCAACGATAGATAGGTACTAGCCCTACCACATTCAGAACCTTGTGAAGAAGACAGTGTGAAGAAGAGACGTGGAAACGGTACCGGGCCGAAGGCCTTCCTCAAACACATGCGCGTACCACCTTGCAATGACAAACAGGTACTAGCCCTATCACATGTACAGCCTTCTGAAGAAGATAAAGTGAAGAAGAGACGTGTACTAGGCCAAAGGCGCCCTTAAAAGACATAAACCTACCACCCTTGCAACGACAGATTGGTACTAGCCCTACCACATTCAGAGCCGTCAGAAAAACAACAATGAGGAGTGGAAAGAAGAAGACAAGGTGAAGAAGAGCAGTGGACACGTTGCTAGGCCGAAGGCCTTCCTCAAAGACATAAACCTACCACCCTTACCACGACAGATAGATGGTAGTTCTGCCGCAGTCAGGGCCTTCTGAAGAGGAAAATGTGAAGAAGGAAAGTGGAAACGGTACTAGGCCGAAGGTTCTTCTTAAAGATGTGCGCCTACCACCCTTGCGACGAGAAACAGATACTGGCGCTACCATTTGCCTTCAGACAAAATATCGTGATAAGAAGACAAGTGGATAGAGTACTAGGCCGAAGGCCTTCCTAACAGACATAAACTTACCATCATTGCAACGACAGGTAGATACGAGCCATACCACATTCAGACCCTCCAGGACAGAAAAATGAGCAGCAGAGAGGCCGATTTCTCCCACGGTGTCCAGGTGGCAGGGCTAGTGTCTATTTGCTGTTGTAAGGGTGGCAGATTTACGTCTTGACAGAGCGCCTTCATCTTTCCACCTAGGGCAGTCACTCTTCTTTACCCATATGCAGTGCCAGTACTATAAGCAATTATCTCTTCATAATGTTTGTGCCTAGGCCCCATTCGTTGTTCTAAGGATGCTTTTGTTACGTCTTTGTAATGCACTTTGCATTTTCTTCCCACTCCATTTCCCTAATCTTCCCATGCTAGGATGCATTTGTCGTTGCAAAGGTTGCAGATGTACCTTTCTTAGCGGAGACCTTCAGCTTAGTACACTTCCCATTTCTCGTTTGTCTATTTATTTAAATTACCCCTGCAGTGGGGGTAGTGGACCTGGGGCATCCTATAATCACTTAATCCTACAACCTTCGCAACAGCAATTTGATACCAGAATGGAAGTAGGTAGATAGATAGATAGGTAGATAGGTAGATAGGTAGATAGGTAGGTAGGTAGGTAGATAGGTAGATAGGTAGATAGGTAGATAGAGAGGTGGACAGATAGATAAATGGATAGATGGACAGATGGATACATCGATAGATACATATATGGATGGATGGATGGATGGATGGATAGATAGATAGATAGATAGTTAGGTAGCTAGGTAGAAAGACAGATAGACAGATAGACAGATAGACAGATAGACAGATAGACAGATAGACAGATAGACAGATAGACAGATAGACAGATAGACAGATAGACAGACAGACAGACAGATAGATAGATAGATAGGTAGGTAGGTAGGTAGAAAGACAGATAGACAGGTAGATAGGTAGATAGGTAGATAGGTATATAAATAAATTGGAAGGAGGTGATGGAGAGAATCCTTCAGCCCAAGCTGGGGCAGCTAACCCGTGCTCCCGTGGAACTAGCATAGATAATGGGAGGGATAGACAAGATCATAGATGGAATATAGATAGAGTATGCACCTTGCTCGTGTGACGGGATTGGCGTGGTGAATGCGTTTGGGCCAAAACAAGGTTGCGAAATGAAGCAAGTAGAAGGCGCGTTTTTTTATGCTACGCGCACGCGCACCGGTCAAATAGGTCCCAATCTTCCCTGCCACGCCCCAGCTGAAGCATGGATGAAGCAATTGTGAACAAAGAAACGTAAGAGCGAGATCATTGTTCCTTCAGGGTGGAACATGAAATTGTTACTGACTCAAAACTGTAGGAAGTGGTGGGCTAATAGAAAATTGGATACGTATAGGGAAGACAATTCTACCTGTGATGTGGGTTCCGATGCATAAGAAAACGGGAAGAAAAGAACGGTGACAGAGTGAAAGAGATGAACAAGAAATATAGGGATGAACGCAAGAGTGAAGTGAGTAAATGCACGGAGGAATTTCATAGGGAAGATGACTGTTTGATCTGTGGGTGTAAGGTGAGAAAATGCAAGAAGATAAGACATGTCAAGAGCAAGAACCATCTGTTCGGGTGGGTGGAGAAGGTCAGATTGAGGGGGCTGGTCAGGTGAAAGTGCAGTATAGAGTATAGAGCATATCCTTTAATAGTGTGTGGGATTTATTTTTTTTTGCGCAACGTAGGGTATTTTTTTGCGAAAAACGCGCCGCGCCACATAGTACGTGTTTTTCCCTGCCACCCCCCCCAGACCCCCTAATCTCTCACTACGTTCGCAAACAACAACTAGCCAGCTTGTCCGGCTGGCTTTCGTAATAACATTCTACAAACGTGCCTCTGCTGCAAATGGCTTTCAGACTGAAGATCAACACTTGGAGCTTGAAACGCTCAAAAGAAAAGTATAAACGTTCCAGCAAAACAACACCGGAGTCATAGACTTGAATCATGAATGAAATCGTCTCAACTGGGGCGGTACTTCCATGATCGTTGCTTGGGAGATGTGGACAACAAAATGTGAACCACATTTCCAACATATCAGAATTACGCAGGGCAAAAGTTCTGTTCCAGGAACTGTGGAAATCGAGAGCTTCGTCATGCCTGAAGAACTGTACCAATCTCTTCCAGCTGGGCAACCTTGGTGGCCACGCAATGAAGAACTTTAGCGTTGACCTTTGGCCCACCGGCAGAAGAGATTGAACCACAGAAACCACAGCTTTTCTGGTAGGTTTTGTGCTGCTTGTGGGGAACCGGTACACTGGCTGCTGATAGAAGCAAAGCGATGCTTTCGGAAAATTTGACCATTGCATGACATGCTCCATTCAGATCACAAGTTGTTCACACTCAACCTGATGGGTACGTCATGAAGTCCAGTAACTGCACACGTTCTTGATCTTAGATAGCAAGTGATGAGATGGTAATCCAAACACGGCGAAATTACGGTAGCAAGAGCTTGCGGTCGTGGTCTAAGTGCCGATATGCTACTTTCCAAGAATGGCACAGCACGCAATGTCTCACTGGAATAAACCCTGGCAAACCACAGCATCCTTCGCAGGCTGCCTCTAAGCACCAGGCACTCTCAACCTTCCCTGCATCCCGGCGCAGGCCCTGAGCCAACGGGATGGCTAGCAAAGCCAGTGCAATTCAGGGCAGGAACCAATTCCAGGAGCACAAAAAGGTAAGAAAAGGCGTGATTTCCAGCAATCTCAACCTGGAACATCCTGAAACAAGGATACAATTTGTGTCGTGACTGTCAACATGAGGTGGAGGAGTTCTCCAACTTGGGATCCGGGATTCCGGGCTGAAGGCTCTGAGCTGCCGTAAACCTTTGGTGGCTCTGAGCCCTTAGTACGGTCCAAGTGGTCCAAGTGGTCCAAGTGGAGAGGGGACTGGTCACAGAAATGGCAGAGAGTCACAGAGAAGCACAGAGAGGCACGCTGTTCACTGAAAATCGACAAAACACAACTCCGATCATCTCCGATCTTCACTTGGCTTCCAAGCTGCTGTGCCCTTTACCAAGAAGCCGCCTATGTATTCCTGTACCAATAGGAAGGGTCGAAGGCACATTCCAAGAAATCAATGGCCATTGCACAGTTCGTGCCAAACACATGGACAGTGTAGTATGGCAAATATAGTCCAACCAGCAGCTTGTCAGAACTGCTGCACCCACTTCGCGTGTGCACCAGCTTCTCATATGTAAATCGAGGGAAAAAGAGGAAGTCTGACACAGCAGCCTGGGGTATAACCCCTGAAAAGGGCACCTCTTGTGGCGTGCTCGGTCCCGCCTGGCCCTTGCTCCGATACGTTTTCAAGATTTCAATTACTTCAGGCTCGCTTACCTGACACGACAACTGGAGTTGGCAAACTAAACCAACCAATTTCTCAAAAGCACGCTTGCAGAGACTATACTGCTCCGTATCCGCCGACCCCAGCCATCTGCAGGGGGTGCGCACCCGAGGAAAAGTGGCGTTAAGCATTAAGCAACCAGCACTTTGGTACATGGCAGCCCGCCTGGCGCCGTGCTTTTGCCATCTGCTGGGCGCTTTCCAAGATTGCGGCATTCTGGAAGCAGTAGCCTGGCTTCAAATGCCTCGCGGCGCCTTCGCCGGAGGCTTTTGCGGCATTCTGGGCGCTTTCGAAGAGCTTTTCTAGTGGCTTCAGAAAGCAACGTCAGGCAGTAGCCTGGATTCAAATCCCTCGCAGCGCCCTTGCCAAAGGCTTTTGCAGCATTCTCGGGGCAGTAGCCTGGCTTTAACTGCCTCGCGGCGCCTTCGCCGGAGGCTGTTGCGGCATTCTGGGCGCTTTCGAAGAGCTTTTCTAGTGGCTTCAGAAAGCAACGTCAGGCAGTAGCCTGGATTCAAATCCCTCGCAGCGCCCTTGCCAAAGGCTTTTGCGGCATTCTCGGGGCAGTAGCCTGGCTTTAACTGCCTCGCGGCGCCTTCGCCGGAGGCTGTTGCGGCATTCTGGGCGCTTTCGAAGAGCTTTTCTAGTGGCTTCAGAAAGCAACGTCAGGCAGTAGCCTGGATTCAAATCCCTCGCAGCGCCCTTGCCAAAAGCTTTTGCGGCATTCTGGAAGCAGTAGCCTGGCTTCAAATATTTCGCGGCGCCTTCGCCGGAGGCTTTTGCAACGTTAGGCAGACGCCTGCCTCCAAATCCCTCGCAGCGCCCTTGCCAACAGCTTTTGCGGCATCTGGAAGCAGTAGCCTGGCTTCAAATGTTTCGCGACGCCTTCGCCGGAGGCTTTTGCCGCATTCTGGGCGCTTTCCCAAGAGCTTTGCTAGCGGCTTGAGAAAGCAGTGTTAGGCAGTCGCCTGCCTTCAAATCCCTCGCAGCGCCCTTGCCAAAGGCTTTTGCGGCATTCTGGGGGCAGTAGCCTGGCTTTAACAACAACAACAACAACAACAACAACAACAACAACAACAACAACAACAACAACAACAACAACACCAACACCAACCAACCAACCAACCAAACAAACAAACAAACAAACAAACAAACAAACAACAACAACAACAACAACAACAACAACAACAACAACAACAACAACAACAACAACAACAACAACAACAACAACAACAACAACAACAACAACAACAACAACAACAACAACAACAACAACAAACCAACAACAACAAACCAACAACAACAAACAACAACAACAAACCAACAACAACAAACAAACAACAACAAACAAACAACAACAAACAACAACAACAACAACAACAAAAACAACAAAAACAAACAAACAAACAAACAAACAACAACAACAACAACAAACAACAAACAAACAAACAAACAAGCAAGCAAGCAAGCAAGCAAGCAAGCAAACAAACAAACAAACAAACAACAACAACAACGACAATGGAGTAGCAGCTAGCAGCCCTGTGGCAGCAGTCAGCAGCTCTGAAACAGCAGTCAGGATATTTTGCTACGATTTCAGACGGCACGTTTCGGCCCCGGGATGCATAAGTAGCAGCAGCCAGAGCAGGCAGCAGCAGCAGCAGCAGCAGAAACAGTAGCACCAGCAAGCCAATTTGAGGTACATTTTCTCTCGTTTTCCCGGGGTCGGCGGCATGGGCGGCATTCCTTAAATTCGGCTCCGCCGGCTCCCCACGAGTGGCTTGCCCTACGAGCGTCCCAGAGCGACTAGAGCTCTAAGGTGAGGCGCGCCCCAAGCCGCCGACCCTCCGACGCCGGGCCCCGAAAAACACCAAAAATCCTTCAGGAGGGTGGGGGAAAGCTTTTTGGCCGGAATCCGGGTCGCTCATAAGCGTCTCCAAGAGCAAAATCCCGCCCCCCCCCCCGTTTTGAGGGTACCTAAAATCGAAAAAAAGTGTCGTTTTGACACATTTTTCGGACGATTTTCAGCTTTTCGAAATGGGCACAATGCTGTAAATTACAGCATTTTTGCGTTTTAACGTCTTTTGCGGGAGCAATGCAAAAACGCAGAAAATGCTGTAAATACCAATACTTTTTTGACCCGAGATGCACAAAACACTGCAAATACCAGTGTTTTTGAAAGCCAAGCCAAAAAACACTGTAAATTACAGCATTTTTGGCAAGTTTATCGCAAAAAATGCTGGTATTTACACTGTTTTTGCAATTTCAAGAAAACGTGGAAGGCACGAAACACTGTAAATAGCAGTGTTTTAGCCACTTTTGGACGCTGAAACGCTGGTATTTACACAGTTTTTTGCCCGTGACGGCGCCAAACCCCTGTAAATTACAGCATTTTTTGCACTTTTTGAACCGATTTTTTGCCTTGATGAACGCAAAAAACGCTGGTATTTACGCGTTTCCCAAAAAATCGAAGATCGTGACGTGAACGAAACCCTGTAAATAACAGTGTTTTAGCCACTTTGGGGGACTAAAACTGTGGTATTTACGCGGGTTCTTGCCAGCTGACAGCGCAATATGCTGTAAATTACAGCACTTTGTGCGCTGTTTATGTTCAATTTTTAAACACGCGATGCTTTCACATGTTCTTTGCATTATTTTGCACTCTTCCACAAGAAACAACGTTGCAGATTGAAACTGGACGACAGCGTGACCCGAAAGAAAGCTGGAGGGAGGAGACGCACAGAAGCTTTTACCCACACACACAGGGGCTTTTACACAGAGAAGTCTTTACAAAGGAGCTTTTTACATACAGAAGGTTTTACACAGAGAAGTCTTTACTCTAAGGTGCTTTTGCAGACCAACGTCTAGGAGCTTTTACTCACAGAAGTTTTTACACGAAGAAGTCTTTACACAGAGGACTTTTTACACACAGACGCGTTTCCACACAGAAGCTGTTACACAGAGAAGCCTTTACACAGAGGAGCGTTTACACACCAAAGCGTTTACACACAGCAAGCTTTTACACACGCAGGGGCTTTTACACAGAGAAGCCTTTACACAGAGTAGCTTTTTACACACAGAAGGTTTTCCACAGAGAAGTCTTTCCTCTGCGGAGCTTTTTCACACAAACGCCTTGGAGCTTTTACACACAAAAGCTGTTACACAAAGGAGTCTTTACACAGAGAGCTTTAACACACAGACGCGTTTACACACAGAAACTTTTACACAGAGAAGCCTTTACACAGAGAGTGTTTACACACGGAAGCTTTTACACACAGAGAAATCTTTACACAGACGGGCTTTCACACAAAGAAGCTTTCACACAAAGAAGTCTTTACACAGAGAATCTTACTTTTACACACAAAAGCTTTTACACAGAGAAGTCTTTGCACAGAGGCGCCTTTACACGAAGTAACAAGTTGAAATCGGCAGCAGTTCTTTAGGAAAAACCCTTCGCAGGAGCTTTCGGGAACTCACTTGCTCCCCAAAAAACGTCTATTCCAACAAATATGTTCCAAAAAACCTAAGGAATATACTTATTTCTGAAGCAGGTCCTCATTCAGTAACTTTCACGCCCTCACTGCGATGAAATGGAGGGCCGAGTGGTCCGGCGGAGCCGACGAGGGGCGTCAGCCCAAAAATTCGGCTCCGCCGGCTCCCCACGAGTACGCTGACAAATGCGTCACGAGCGTCCCAGAGCGACTAGAGCTCTATGGTGAGGCGCGCCCCAAACCGCCGACCCTCCGACGCCGGGCCCCGAAAAACACCAAAAATCCTTCAGGAGGGTGGGGGAGAGCTTTTTGGCCGGAATCCGGGTCGCTCATAAGCGTCTCCAAGAGCAAAAGGCCCCCCCCCCCGTTTGGAGGGTACCTAAAATCGGAAAAAAGTGCCGTTTTGACACAGCCGGAATCCGGGTCGCTCATAAGCGTCTCCAAGAGCATTCCCCCCCCCCCGTTTTGAGGGTACCTAAAATCGGAAAAAAGCGCCGTTTTGACACATTTTTCGGACGATTTTTCGCTGTTCGAAAGTTTTGCGTTTTAACATCTTTTGCGGGAGCCATGCAAAAACGCAGAAAATGCTGTAAATACCAATACTTTTTGGACCCAAGATGCACAAAACACCGCAAATACCAGTGTTTTTGAAAGCCAAGAAAAAAAACACTGTAAATTACAGCATTTTTGGCGTGTTGATCGCAAAAACTGCTCGTATTCACAGTGTTTTTGCAATTTCAAGAAAACGTGGAAGGCACGAAACACTGTAAATAGCGGTGTTTTGGCCACTTTTGGACGCCAAAACGCTGGTATTTACGCAGTTTTTTGCCCGTGGCGGCGCCAAACCCCTGTAAATTACAGCATTTTCTTCCCTTTCTGAACCGATTTTTTGCCTTGATGAACGGAAAAAACGCTGGTACTTACGCGTTTCCCAAAAAATCGAAGATCGTGACGTGAACGAAACCCTGTAAATAACAGTGTTTTAGCCACTTTCGGGGACTAAAACTGTGGTATTTACGCGGGTTCTTGCCATCTGACAGCGCAAAATGTTGTAAATTACAGCACTCTGTGCCCTGTTTATGTTCAATTTTTTAACCTGCGATGCTTTCACCTGTTCTTGGCATTCTTCCACAAGAAACAATGTTGCAGATTGAAACTGGACGACAGCGTGACCCGAAAGAAAGCTGGATGGAGGAGTCGCACAGAAGCTTTTACACATACAGGTGCTTTTACAGCTTTTACACAGAGAAGTCTTTACACAAAGGAGCTTTTTACATACAGAAGGTTTTACACAGAGAAGTCTTTACTCTAAGGAGCTTTTGCACACAAACATCTAGGAGCCTTTACACACAGAAGCTGTTACACAAAGAAGTCTCTTCACAGATATATAGCTTTCACACACAGACGCGTTTACACACAGAAGCTTTTACACAGAGAAGCCTTCACCCAGAGGAGCTTTTACACACAAAAGCATTTACACACAGCAAGCTTTTACACACACAGGGGCT